TATCTCCCGTTGCAAAATCTGAGGTGCTTAGTATCGACAGCCGGAACCATATAATAAACTAGGTAGGGCAGAGAAGGAGCAGAGGGATAAGAAAAGGGCTAAGGTAGCATCGCGGGCTGGGGCTAAGGGGAAGGATAAAGGGGTGAGGTGGGAGCCAACATGCCTGCTGGGGTTGCATATCACTACTTCTTAAGGTGGTGTTTACTTTCAAGAGTGGAGATGTATTGGTGTATTAGGGCAGATGTATTATATTTGCACAGAAAGCCCTTCACTCTTAGTATTCGTAAGATGTAGAGAATACAAGCGAAAAGCTTTTTTTTTTAAACAAAAAGGTATCTGAACAGTTAATTTAGATTAACCCACAAAATAAATCCTGTTTTGTACGAAAACTTTATCCCTGACACTTGCACAGTTCCTGGGATTTATTTGTTTATCACTGTGAGTTACTACTTGGCAATTTAAAAAGTCTCCAGATGCTTTTTGGCCTTGGTGCCAAGGCCTCATAGCCGAAATAGGTTGTTGATTTATCCATCGATGTAGGTAGTTTAACTGCAGTATTTAGATACTGTATGACTTGATTTCAATAGCATAATTACCAAGATGGGAAGTGAGTATTATCGCGTGTCAATTTCTATAATAACTGCTAATTGTTAACTATATTACACTCACAGATTACACACCAGCACCATGCTGTCATCATAGTATACTGAAATGCCCCCAAGCCTGTTAGTTATCGAAAAATTCAAAAATTAAGGGGAATTCCAGTACCGACTGCCAATGACACCTGCATCCACACTGTTACAAATGCCCATAAGGCAAGAATTGAGAAGGACTCCCAGGCGAACCTTGATGAACCATTTTCTATGATCGAACTTATTTCAGCAAAGGTACTCAATCCTAATGCTCATTACAGAAGGTCTCAAGTACTTACAACCACTGAAAAGAATTCCCTTATCACACTCATTCAACGTGACTTCACCATCCAGTGAATGAAGCTGGTTGACCTTCAGCAAGATGCTGGCTTCTTGCATGCACAATATTCAATGCATTAGTAGAGAGGGGATTAGGAGCATCCCAGCAACAGTTTAAGTTCATTTTGAATCCCATTTGTAAACTAAACAGACTAGTAGGTTGATCATTCTCTAAGCTTGTTTAGATACAATAGTTTTGTTCTGTTCCCTCATGTAAATGGCCCTTTTCCTTCAGTTTCATGACTAAAAGAACACTTTTTTCAGAGTACAAATGGTCACTGAATGGAATGGAACTGTTGTATCCAAACTGGCTCTTAATATTAATAATATGAATCTAATTCTTGTAAATGCAAAGGCATATTGTCAGGTTCGAGAAACTTGGTTGCCAGGAAGGGAATGGGCCAATTATGCATTCATCAATGAAATGTCAATTGAGGTTGGGGCGGTTTTTGGCTTGAATCATGTCTGGAATGACAAAACTGCGCAGCAGAATGTGGATCGCATTGGGGCTAGGAAGAAGCAGGGGGCAGCTATAATGTGCTGAGGTATAATATCATGGGGCTGGAAAGGCCTGCCAGTGTTCTACCTCTGGGCAGCAGAAAAATAGAAGAAAAAAGCTGAAGCTATTAGTACAATAGCAGAGCTGAATGTGAAGGGTACGGCAGAGAAGAAAAGGTTAAATGATTAGTGGAAGCAATCAGTGGAGTGGAAACTACTACGGGAGAGGGAATTGGATGAAGCTCGGCAGGCTCAACTTAGGGGAAAAGAAGCTGGTATAAGGGTTAAAACAAATCAATCCTAGCGAGGTAAAAAATACAAGATTAAGAAGCTGGAAAGAAAAGATTCTAGTGGGGTTGATTCTTGGAGATATGTATATCTTCTTTGTAAACCACTCTTGTGGCCAACATGCTGAGAACAAAGAAACTCAAATCCTCAATTTAGATTAATGGAGGATAACACTCCCTCTCATAATTAAGACTTTACTAATCATGAAAGGAAAAAGTTTGGAGTTGAGAAGGTAGATTGGCCACCAAATTCGCCTGATTTTAATCTCATTGAGCGAATCTGGTGGCTGATGAAGCGCCATATTCTTTGCTGTGGAGGAAGTGGAAAGATCTGTCCTCCAGCTGCTATGACAATAGCACTGAATGAAGAGTGGGAGTATATTATGATTGATGAAATCAATCAAGAGATTGTACTAAAGCTACCTAAGATTATGGAAAATTGTATTCAGCAGAGTGGGGCTAATAAATTTCAGGCCTAAAGCCTTTCCTTTATCTATTTCATTTATTTTTCATTCTATCTAGATTTCTACAACTATTCCTAACTACTACCCTTGGTTTTATTAGCTTCCGGTTCTTTTTCAGTATTTGAAGCACTGTTATCGAAGTGAAAGATTTCATCATATGCCTGTCATTCGGACCTTCCAAATTCCCTTGGCGCCAAGGCCAAAAAGCGTCCGGAGACTTTTTAAATTGCCAAGTAGGTCACTTAGGTGCAGTAAAATGGTGCTGACTGGGGGGACAGCTGGGGTAGCGTTGCAGGGGATATTAAAAGTTAGATCGGGTCAAGAGATTCTTGTGCTTACATAACCACGGGTTACGTTTTGCTCAATTAGCGTTAGTGCGTGTTTGTTTTTTCTTAGTATGATAGCCATCATAGCACTTATGCGCTCGAGTACTCGTATGGTGCCGGCACCTTAGAATCAACCCTCATGACAACCGAACTTTCCCAACTTTTCGGTGGGCAACAACAATGTCACATATCATTATTTTACTTATTGCTTCTGTATAATCCTCCTAAAATATATAAAGAACACATTTACAGAGCAGATTTCACTCAAGTGGTGTGGTTGTTTCTATAATAGCTGTTAAAGTTGAGGCAAAATTTGGGTGGAGCCAAGAGGTTAGCACTTGTGTGTGAAAAGCAGGTTTTTGCTGAGTAATACACCAATACATTGCCTAAAGCAGTATAGTCAGATACTACATTAGGACTAGTGCCCGGACCCGGATGGCACTGAGGGTCGATTCTAAGGTGTCGGCACCATACTCTCTCCTCTGTATAAACAATTCGCACTTTTTCCCGGCGGAACCACTACTAACTCATCAATTTGAACATCTCTTTCTTTCCTACTCTGCAATTGCAGTAATGACATCGACCGCCCAAGGCCCTCCCCAACTAACTCCAGGCCGTATTCGCTCTCCGTGGCGCGATACCTTCATCTACTCTTCCGACGATCGTGATACTGTGCTCGGAGGCCTCTTTGCGTCAGAGGGTATGAGCAACAGAGATCTCTATTCTATTGTGGAGATTATCTGTATCTTTGCAGACACTTTCCACATACAAGATCAGTGTTCCCAACGGGCTAGGCCAGTGATAGACCAGCCTATAGGCCGTAGGATGGGCCAAGGCAGGCCGCTCTGACGATGAGCCTAGGCGGATATAGGCTAAACTCAACAGGCCTGCCGAAGCCTATCAGGTCTGGTAGGAGCCTATAGGCCTGCAAGTGGGATTTTTAGAGCTGATTGTTTTAAGAGTGGGTCGATTCCTTACAACTTTCATTGTGGTTTATTATTTTATCTCTATCCTCAGTTGTTGGTTGAAGTATGATAACTATGCGATTACCGATCCACAACCAGCTCAAAGAAGTCTAGGAAATCTACCTCCAGATTCTCCAATGCAGTCCTATCTCACAATCCTTCCTTTCTGATTCAGTTTCTTCAGCAGGAATCCATCAGTGAATGTGCCCACTATGACTAGTTTAGTGGAATGGGAGATGAGCCGAATGGAAATCAAGGATCTGAGGGGGTTGTAGGCCCGTATTCATAGGCTGGGGCCAGCTTGGCTAGGCCATATAGGCTGGGCCGGCCTATCAGGTGGCAGGTACTTAGCCTATACGGCCTATAGCTGGGCCCGGCCAGGCCAGGCCCAGGCTTTTCAAAGCCTATAGGCTCCGGCCGGGCTAAATCCCCCATAGTTGTGGCAGGCCGGGCCCGGCTTCGGTTCAGCCTGGCCTACCCGGCCCGTTGAGAACACTGTACAAGATGACAGGGAACAATTGGTTGAGAACGATGCGTACGCACTTACGCCAGGAGATTACTACATTGTCACCAATGGTAGGCCCCCTTTATGCTTCAGCCATCGATTGCCACTCACTCGTGATAGGTTCCATCACTGTCACCAATGAAGTCCCTCTATTTCATCAGATTTCGTTGCAGACTGCGACCCACGTTTCAGCGTTTACTGAGGCCGTACCCAACCCGGATCAGCGCTGCGTGATAACGGGCAGGTCAGCAGTGGTGAGTTGTGTTACTTTCTGGGAGCCCTTCGAAGCCGCTCATGTGTTTCCCTTAAAACATACGGGGTACTGGAGGAGGCATAACTTTGGTCGTTGGATTACCATTCCTCCGGCATCTGAGTCGCATGGAGACATCAACTCTGTGCAGAATGGGATGTTACTCACTCGAGATATGCACGCACTATTTGATTCCTACCAAGTTTCAATTAATCCAAAAGTGCGCTTAGTCTAAGATTGAGGAGTTTGTGGTCGTCAGTATTCCCAAACGTCCAGTCCGTCCGTCCTCAGCTTCGGCCGGGACGGACGCCGGTTCTTCGAACTCTGCCCTGGGCGGACGCCCATTCTGTGGTCCGTCCTAACCTCTCCCCGGGACGGCCGGCCGGGCCCTATAGGTGTTTCACTGCAAATACACCTGCAGATGACGGCCGGACCCTGCAGATGACGGCCGGACCCTGCAGATGACGGCTGGGCCCTGCAGATGACGGCTGG